GGAAAAACCTTCACCCAAAAGTCACACCTTAACATACACCAGAAAATTCATACTGGAGAAAGACACCATGTTTGCAGTGAATGTGGGAAGGCCTTCAACCAGAAGTCAATACTCAGCATGCACCAGAGAACTCACACAGGAGAGAAGCCTTACAAATGCAGCGACTGTGGGAAAGCTTTCGCATCCAAGTCCCAATTCAGAGAGCACCGGCGAATTCACACAGGAGAGAAACCCTATGTATGTCCTGAATGTGGTAAGGCCTTCAACGGCAGGTCAAATTTCCACAAACATCAGATAACTCACACTAGAGAGAGACCTTTTGTCTGTCACAGATGTGGAAAGGCCTTCCTCCGTAAATCAGAGTTGACTACCCATCAAGGAACTCATGGAGAGAAGCCTTATGAATGCTGTGACTGTGGGAAATTGTTCAGTAAGAAACCACAGCTCAAGGTACATCAGCGAATTCACACAGGGGAGAGGCCTTATGTGTGTGCTGAATGTGGGAAGGCCTTCAACAACAGGTCAAATTTCAATAAACACCAGGCAACCCATACCAGAGACAGTGCTTACAGATGCAGTTACTCTGTGAAAGGCTTTACCAAGAAATCAATTCCTAATCCATCAGCATATCGCTAGCCAAAATGTACTCCCTGAGTTATGTGACTAAGCAGACTTAGAGATCCAATTATACATTAATAGTATTAATGCTTTAGAAAAAAATTAGAAATGTGTGGTCTTGTTAAGGATTATGAATTTTCTCTCAGGAAGAAATAAGATTAATATGTTGAGAACAGACTTTCTATATAAAATAGTACAAGACACCTTGTTACCAGATTATTTGGTGGAAAAGTTTTTAAAAATTATTTCATTTATAATTGCATTCATTGTGGGATATCAGTTTTTCTAAAGTGCCAGTAGTCAGGTGCAGTGGCACATTCCTATCATCCCAGCTACTCAGGAGGCTGAGGCAGAAGACCACAAATTTGAGACCAGCCTCAGAAACTTAGCAAGGCCCTAAACAACTTAGTGAGACTCTGTCTCAAAATAAAAGATAAAATGGGTTGGGGATGTAGCTCAGTGGTAAAAAGCTTCTCTGTAATCCCCAGGACCAAAAAAATAAACAATAATAAATAAAAATAAAAATAGAGTGCCAGCAAAGTGACTGATAGGACAAGGTATGTACATGGGTCAGTAATGTGTGCACGTATATTATATATGTATGTATATGTGTATGCTATATAGATCAGCCTACATATTTATGTTTATGTTTGTATATGTGTATGTGTATTTATTCCCATAGTTCAGTGGGGTTTGCAGTAGAATTTACTGCAAAACAGGAGTAGATCATAATTATTTTTTTAAAAAGAGTCTAATTTGTGTTAATTGAATTTATTCCCTTTTGAAAATCTACATCATGGAATTGTACCATCAACGATTATTAATTTATTATATTGTTAGCAGGTTAGCCGTGAACAGGTAGGTAGAGAGAAAGGACAATGAAGAACAGACGTTAGGCCTGTGCACCAAGAAAAATCCAGATGCCATAAAAGTGAAACTGCAGAGAACCTATCTAAACAGGCAGGAGCTGGGAAATGAGATCTGGGATGCCTAGCCTTCCCCAGGCTGCAAGAACTTAATCCCTTGGGAATTATTACTTAAAATCCTGGGGACCTACTAAAACAGATAGGTTTCAGAAAAGTGGGGTCTGGCACATCAAGACCCCCAGCTACAGCTAGTTACGACCCCTCAAGGGGCACTGTGCCAGCGTCATCAGTGAAACTGTCCAGCCACCCTGTCAACCAGGATATCCTTCCCTCACAAGGGATGTTGCGGGGGCTATCCAGAGGGCAGTAAACCAGCTTGGGGGAGACAGGGAAATCCAGAGGAGAACAGAGGACTTCATTCCCTTAAAAACTGCACACCGTCCCGTCTCGGGGGGTCCTGCAGCCCCTGCGGAATGCAGTCCTGTCACTCTATCAATCGTTTCTCACTACTCTGTGTTTTGCTCACATTCTTGTTGCAGAGTCACAGAATTTGTACCCAAGGATGTGGGAGGCTGCCACGCCTTGTGGCCACCATTTTCCTGATTGGTGAGGCCCTGTCAGTCACTTCGCGTGATCTGGCCACATCAAAGTGGCTGTAGACAGTGTCCCTGATCTTAAGGGTCTTAAAAATGTCGCCAAATGTGTCTTCATGCGAAGGCACGCCTTCCTGCAGCCCCAGGGGTCGAGCTACGCTCACCTGTTCCTTTGTGGTATTACCCCTTGGCCTGTTTGGGATAGAATGTTCCATGGAAACACCCTTTGTGTGTCCCTTTCTCTTGCTCTGCCCTTGGGTGTGGCCTTCCTAGAGGTCAGTCAACCTGCTGACAGTGGACATCACAAAGCTAGACTCAGCCCCCTGAAACCTGACCCCTTCCTCATTTGAATGGCTTCTCCTCAATAAAAGGGGTCAGCATGGCTCGTTCTCTCTTTCTGTGGACCCTTAAGGTCAGAGGAGCCGTCACAGGACCCCCCAAAGAAAAAGGTATCTCTGTTTCTTGTGTGGTAATTTCGCGCTGCCCAGTTCCCCTGGGAGTGACCCTGAGTGTTTTTATCGCCAAGAACGTGACTCAAGGACTATGGTGGCTGCCTCAGCTCAACCCGGATATTATACTGCGTAGTGAGTTTCATATTACGACTTTTCTTTCATATTAGCTCAGCTCTCTACTCCCTCTTCCTTCCGTCTCTACCATCTGTGGTGTGTGTCTCCACAGATAACCAGAACCAGCCTTTTTCTCTGGATTTGCTGGCATTATTTATTAAGGCACCTAGTCGTATACACCAGGAGTCAGTAGATTGTGGCCATTGGCCAAATTGGCCTACCAACTAACCAACAGTTTTGCTTTTTTAAAAGTCTTATTGGATTGTAGTGTGCTCATCTGCTTATGTCCTGCCTAGGGCTGCTGAGTCCACTGGCAGAACTCAGCAGATGTGGCAGAGGCCCTGAACATGTTCGTTTTCTGGCTCTTCACGGAAGATGTTTGCAGCAGATGGTACCCCACATCACTAGGCTTGTAATCATACCCATATTATAGTTTCATTTATTTGTTTATTTTGGTATCAGGATTGAACCCAGGGGCACTCAACCACTGAGCCACACCCCCAGACCATTTTGAGACACTGTCCCACTAAGTTGCTGAGGCCAGCTTTGAACTTGCGATCCTCCTGCCTTCCAAACCACTGCATCTGGAGAGTATTAAAATGGGCTGGGGATGTGGCTCAAGTGGTAGTGCGCTCGCCTGGCACACATAAAACTAAAAAAAAAAAGTATATATATATATTGTGTTCACCCAAAACAAACAAATATTTAAAATGAAACAAAAACTCTTGTATTCCCTTCTGAAGAGGAAAATAGCAAGTCTAGGTCTGTGCATGCACTAAGCAAGTTATTTATCTGAACAGAATACAGTTGTACCTTATTCCATGAGTGAGAAGCAAACTGCAAGTATATTAAGCCCTCGGAATTTCCTGGAGTGATCAAGTGCTTGGTGGATGATGATGGGACTGTGTCCCTGAGCCTGCCTGGATCCTTAGCTCCAGCAGATATTCACTCCTCACATGGTCCTCTCTACCCCTGCCCCCCACATACATACACACAAACACACCCTAGGACAGACTCCTCCATCCTCTTCCAGAATGTTGCCCACACCTCTGACCTTACACCTCACTCCTGTAGGGCCCATGGTTCATAGCCCCTTTGTTCCTTTCTCTGTCCCTTTCCTCCCCAGGCCTCTCTGTCCATTCTGCTCATCTCCCTCTCAATCTCTGACTTCTATTATTCTCTATTGCCTCTTCATGACAATTCTTGGGACAAGCCTTTGGCACTTAGTGCCTGTTGGATCAGAGACTGAAGAATCTGGAGAGTGGCTGGGTGATGGCTTTGGAGTTGCTGGGTCCCAGGGAGAAATACGAAGTTTCCTGTCATGTGAGCCATGTCCAAAGCTTTGTGAAAAGATCTGTGGGCTTCAAGAACTGAGAGATGAATAACTCTTTGTGCAAGGGTCTTACTTTAAGGAGTCCAGAGTTGAGTTTTCAGAAGAAGAAGCTACTATTATAAGCAGCTTGTGTTAATTAACTCATTCATTCTTCTTGGCCATTAGGAGGTAATCTACCCTGACAGATTCCATTTTATAGCTGAAGATACCTAGGCCTAGAGAACTTGATACAAATCTTACCAAGACCACAAATCTATTCATGAGAAAAGCTCAGACTTGACCCAGGCTGCCTGATGCCAGTATCCTGACTCACTATTAAACTATCCTTCTCTCCATGACCACCTCTAACATTGGGCAGTGATGGGCATGGTGAAATAGAGAATTTCATATTATGAAAAAGAGAATTTCATATTTTGTGATTTAACAACAACAACAAAAAATACTGCCTTCCCCCAGCCCAAATTAGAACTTGATCCATCTTTTGATCATTCTAAGAATTAGCACAAGGCTTGGGTATAGCAGAGTTAGGCTTATGGGTTCTGGAGCCAGCCTGCCTGGGCACTGTATACCCCCACTCAGTGTCTCACCAACTTGGTGACAAGTGACTTAACCTCTTCATACCATTATTACCTCAAGTGCACAATGGATACTCCCATTAGTAGTCCTTAACTCATGGCTTCCTTTGTGAATTACTTGCATTAATTATGTGAAGCCAAGCATTAAAGTGGTGGCTGCCCACCATAAGTATTCGACAGATATTTGTTCTTATAATTCACTAAGTGTGGAATTTTCATTAAATCTGAAATGCAGATATTTTCCAAAGTAGAATTCTATTATTCAACCTGGAGTCCCAGTCATAGCTTCCTCGATTTAACACAAAATTCTGATCCCCATTTTCAGTGCATCCACTCCAAGGGAAGCCTTCCCTGTGTCATTAATGTCTGGTAGAGGTACCTCCTAGGCATGGTGGATAAAAGAGAGGAGGGATGGATGGGAATTAGGGAGGGCAGACAGGAGACACCAATAAAATGAATTCCTTTATTAAAAATCAGGTGGGGTGGGTGGGAAGGATGCCCGAAACCCTGGCCTCAGAAGCTCTCTCTCAGCCTCCAGATACCTCTGTTTGGCACTGGGGCTTCTGGGTTTTGGAAGTTGATGTCCACAGTGAGGTTGGTATAGAGGGGATGCCGCTCCTTGGACAGCAGCCTGTAGCCCAGTGAGTTGATGCCATCGTGTCTCCACCTTTGGTGGATCCAGGCCCGAAGACCAAATCTGAGGGAGGCAAGGGACAGCCATGGGAGCCCCGGCTTCAGGGAGCCCCAGGCTGACCAGCACGCCTCCACACTGACTCACCTCCAGACGCTCTGCTTCTGGCTATGGTCCTGTCCCTCCTCTAGCATGTGGTAGCGGCCAAAGAGTAGGTGGGGCCGTGACAGGAGCATCCCACTTAGTTTTACCCTTTCCGGGACAGGAGGAAGAGCAGGGACGTCATACATTTGTCTCCTCTGACCATCCCCAGGCCACGTCTCCCCAGTCTGGGAAACCCAAGCCAGCCTCAGTCTAGGGAATCCTGTCCCCACACAGTGGGACCCTCAGGCTCCTCACCTGGTAGCAATGTTGTCGTCCTCATCATCCCAGTTCCAGTACACATTGGAGAAGCCGTTTATCCTCAGGTAGTGGATGGGGCGCAGGGCAAATACCCCTCCAAGGTAGCCTTGGTAGGGCAGCCTTCAGAGGCAGAGAGTAGGAAGCACAGGAATTTCAGGTCACAGAGGCCCTGCTGGCAAGAGTCTCCAAGGTCCATTTCTGGGTCAGCTCTTCTTCACTCCTCCACAATAACATCTCCTGATCCCTGTGTTTGTCTCTGTTCATCTCCTTTTCAAGCCTGGTGTTAGCTTCCCTTTAAGTCTCAGAATATCTTCATTCCCTGAATCATCTGGCACCTCTTGTGACCTTCTTGATCTTTTTTCCTCAGACCCTTAAAATAACCTTCCTCACCCTTAGGCAGACCTTCCTCTCATGTCCTCCTCTGATTCTGTAACAGCCCTCTCTGCCCATCACTATATTAAGCAGATCTTCTGACCCCTCTTCAGTTATCACTCCACCCCAGTTTACATCCATGTCTAAGAGGAAGGTTCTTCACTATCTGCAGAGTTTCCCCAGGTCCATCACCCCTCCCACCCTTAGTTTCAGGGAACAGGGCAGAGATCATCCACCACACTGTACCGACTGGCAGGGTGAGCTGCAAGGAAAGACAAGGACAGCAGTGCTTCCCAGTAGAAGCTCCCTTTGTCTACCTACTTGTAGTTGAACTTGTTGATAGCCACAGACACGTGAGCAGGGAAGATGTCACAGGTGTAGATGTTACGGTCATCCTCTGGGAGTAGGTTCACATCATGGAAGAAGACACAGTCCCAGTTCTCCTCCTGCATGGCCTCCCGGAACCCCACATTGCGTAGCTTGCCCCGGTTGAAGGCGGTGTTGTTTACCTGGGGTGGACACAGATGCTCGGTGCTGCCCTCCCAGTCAGGCAGTGGTCTGTTCCTCCACCTGCCACACGGGTCCTCTCCAGCCTTCTCAAGGACTATTTCCTCGCCTGGAATACCTTCTCATTTCTACTATGGATCTGGAAACCCCATACTTGGCCAGGAAGATGCCGTTCAAGTTACTCTCCTGGGAAGCTTTTCTTGTATCCCACCCCTACCCCAGTCAACCGGTCACTTCAGCCTCAGCTTTCCTTCGGCCTTCTTCAAGGTTCCATAATTTTCAAGGGGCCATCTGAAGGAGGCAGAGGTGAGGGGTGATGAGGGATTGTGTCTTGGTTTCTGTTCTTGCCAAATGGAGACTGGGTCTGAGGCCTGGGAACCACCACAGGGTTTCGACTCTCCTCCACCATTTCCATCTTCCTCATCACCTCCTTAATCATGACCATCTTCAGCACCACCATCACTGTCACTTTATCATGTTCACTGTTTCCACCATCAGTATTGTCACTGTCATGTCATCATCTTTAACACTATCAACACAGTCACTCCTGTCAACACTACCAACATCACATCTCCATCACCATCTTCCATGCGGCCATTGGCATGGCCACCATCAGTACTGTTGTTGGCAGCAGCAACAGCATCACAGTCATTGTCATCATCATCACCGCCATCATTGTTATCACTTTTGGAGTGCCTGCTGTGTGCTAGGCCTTGACCTAAGTGCTTTACATTCATTAACCTGGTTAATCCCTCCCACAATCCAGTGACAGAAGTGTCATTATCATCCCTATCATGAAGGGGAAACTGGTTCATACACAGCTCTACTGAATACCAGTGTGTTGAATAAATTAATGATTCCCACACTCAGACCACACAGCTAGTAACAGACAAAACTGGGAGTCAAACTACTATCCAACTGCCCCCAATCCCAGTGCTTTAATTTACCCCCTAGGTTACTGTCTAACCTGGCCAGCTCTGGTCTCAGAGAGCCCCAGGCTCAGCAGGACTGCATCTTTGACTCAAGATAGCCAGCCATTCAAGCTGATCCCAGACTTGGCAAGTCCAGTCCCAACCCACAGTCCTGGCTCCAGATTCACCCAATTCAAGATCTTCTTGACCCAGATTCAGCCTCCTAGATACTCAGACATTCTCACCTCAGGGAGTGCCATCTTCAGCCCAACTCTCCAAGCCCATGCCCAGACCCTCTACCCTTTTGCCCATGTCCTTCCTCATCCCTGTCTCACCTGGTTCACTACATAAATGGCATAATGCAGTTGCTGGCGCTGCAGGAAGGGGTGCAGGTGGAAGAGAAGCTGCTGCAGGTGCTGGGCTTGCCCATAGTAGGGTACCACCACTGCCGTGTGGTGCCAGGTCCAGCAGTCTGGTGGTTTGTATTGACCTCCCAGCCTCACCAATGGGTTCTTTTCCACTGCCTTCTCCATGGTCAGGTTCTCTGGGAACATCACTTTCAAAGGACCATCTGAGAGATACAGAAGCCCAGGATGTTTAGGGACCTATCCCAGCAGCCCCACAACCCAGTTGCTCCAGGTTGAATAGAGCTCCCCTTAATTCATGTCCATCTGTAACTTCAATGTGGCTTTACTGAAGAGCGTGTTTGCAGTTTTAATTTGTTAAGATGCATTTGCATTGGATCAGTGTGGGCCCTAAACCCAGTGACTGGTATTCATATAAGAAAGCCAGGTGAAGACCCAGAGAGAAGACAACCATGGTCAGATTATAGAGTGACATGCCACAAATCAAGGATTGCCAGCAACCCTAAAGTAGGAGAGAGGCGTAGGATGGTTCCACCCCAAGAGCTTCCCGAAGGAACCAACCCTTGCTAAAACCTCGATTTTAGAATTCTCTTCTCCAGAATAGCTAGAGAATAAATTCCTCTCTTCACCCAGTTTGTGATACTTTGTTGAGGAGTCCTGGGAAACTACTGTGCCAGTACGGGGGCTCTGAGTCATGCATGTGGACTTAAGAAAGCTCATCACCTGTTGCTTTTCCCCGTTGACCTATAGTTCTAAATCTGCTTCCTGAACTCCCAGATGTTTCCTTTCAGATGGTTCCCAGATTCCCCCAATTCCTACTTTCTCACTTCCCTCTCATTGAGGACCCTAGACTCCCACTCCCTTCCTGTCCACATCAGTGTCTCTCACCCATCACGCCTTCCTTACAATGTGAATTTGACATTCCTCCTCCTGAAGGGGTGGGTAGCCTCTGTCCTTAACACCTTGAAGGTAGATGGGCTTTAATCACTGTAGTATGGCAGAAGTGACACCATGTCACTTGAGGCTAGATCACAAGAAGCTATGTATCTTCCACCATGTTTGTGCAAATACATGCTCTTGGAGCTTACGGCTGCCATGTAAGAAGTAGTCATTCTAAGGCCACCGTGCTTCCAGGTAGCCCAAACTAGCCCATATGATGAGCTGACACAGAGAGGCCCGGAGTTGAGCAGAATGGGCGTGAAGAGGGAGATACTCAGCCAGCTCCCAGGGCTCCAGCACATTGCCGCTCAGCTGCAGTCCCATCTCGTCAACTGAATGGAAAACCTGTACCATAACCACCCAACTGAGCCCTTCCCCCAAATTCCTGACCTACATAAACTTTGAGAAGTGATGGTTGCTCAAGGACGCTGCTTTGGGGTGATTTGTTGAGATACAGCTAGATAACCACAACAGTCACCCACAGCCACCAGACCCACTGCTTTCTGCCTCCGGCTCTGCCCGACTCCCAGGGATTGCCACTATCTCCCCATGGCCTGGGATGGGGCTGGGGGTCTGGAAGGCCCGCCAAACGCTTACTGACGTAGGGTGAGATGATGGGGCAGTTTGGCAGATCATCCTCACTGACATCCACAGGGTGGATCTGGCTGAGGTTGGAGTAGACATCTTGCTGAGAGGTTCCTGGAGGGGAGACCTGGACCAAAAGGAGCTGGAGCTCAGGAGGCACATTCAGAACCATGGGTCAACGAGGGGCAACCCTTCTCTCACCTCTGACCTGTCTTGTATCAGGAGGCGCAGAAAGGAGGTGAGGTCACGGAGGTGATGGCTTTGGTGGAACGCCCCCATGAGCAGCAGCTGTACACCCACGAACGATAACAGGAGCCCCCTCTGCTGTTCCATCCTGGGAAGGAAACAGGTCATCATTCCTCCCACACTGCAAGCCTCTCACTTCTCCCTGTTCTCCAGTGGGGCTCTGTCCTGGCCTCCTGCACACAGCCTTCCCTGACTGGTTTTGCAGACTCCATGGAAGAGAAGCCAGTTGAGACTGGCCCAAGGCCACTCAGTGTCATGCTACCTGTGCAAAAAGATGGCTGTCTTGTGCATGTGTCCACTCGTCCAGTTCAGCCCCTCCAAACCCTCTGGTCATACTTGATACCAACTGGGCTGCTCTCCCCGTGAGCACCTCAACATCTCTTAAGCCTTCATGTCCTTGTCTGTAGTGGGGCCTATGGCCGGGTTGTAGCACTCGGACACACAATGTGCATAGGTCAGTGCGACATGGGCTCAGCATTATTCCAGGACTGGGCCAAGTTCTCTCGAATGTCCAGCATCCTGCACAGAAGGGTGCTAGACAACCGCTCATACTGGACGCTCTCCCCTCCCACACCCCAACAAGAACCAAGTAGCCCCTCACGGTTTCCATGCCCGTGTTTCCCTCTGCTGCAATCTATCCTGGATCGGGACTGCACAGCCCCTCCCACCAGACGAGGAGCTTGCCAAGGGCAGGGTTCAGGATGGCCTCTTCTTGGAGACCCCACATTTTTGAGCAGGTAAAGCCCCAGGAAGTGGGAGAATAAGTATGAGTGCTCTTCTCTGCCCTGTGAACTCTTGCTCTTCAGCCACGAGCCATCATGAGTGCTCCTTGTCTGGGGAGTGTCCTCCAAGTCCTGCACCCTCCTGCACCCTGGGCTTTCATGGTCCCTGGCACTGCTGTGACATCTCTGGTCACCAGAACTAGAATGATCTGTATCCAGGTCTCTCTGCCTCACTGGCCTGGAACCCTGTGAGGGCAGGCCTTCTGTATGGCTCATCTCTAGGACCCCAGCCCCACCCAGCACAAGGCTCAAGCCTTCAGTTATTTATTCACTCAGTGTATTTCCCAAGGACCCACTTTGTGCCAGGTTTTATCATAGAGACAAAGACCACAAACAAAATTGTCAAAACTCTGCTTCCAGGACACTGACATGGTGAAGCAGACGTGAAAAGCAGGTTTCAGATAATAACAATCTACAAAAGAAAAGGGCAGTGACGTAAAGGAACAGTGTGTGGCTATTTCTGCTAGGAGGGTTGGAGAGGTGACATGGAAGATGACTAGGAGGCAGCCATGGGAAGCACTTCTGGCAAAGGCCCCAGAGTGAGAAGCAGGGAATGCTGGAAAGGGCAGTAGGCAGAGGCCAGAGTAGCAGCCAGGGTGGGTCACGCAGGTTCTTCCGGGTCAGGGTGAGGGAGCAGGGAGGGATGTGCTCTGACTCTCACACTGGCTCTGAGCAGTGGTTCTCCACCAGGGGAGTGCCAGGGAGGGAAACGGTTCTGGAGGCAGAACTACAGCCCCACCAAGGGAGGGTGCCTCTGCCGCCCCACTTCCCTTGTCTTCTCCTTTCCACCTTCTCTCCCCCCCCTCTTCCTGGAGTGTCAGTGTTGCTCCTTAAGGACCAGAGAATGCAGAGTCCTGCTCTTCCAGAGACCCATGGAGGACGAGGACATTCACAGGCCCTGAGGGTCTCCCTCTAACTGTAGGATGAGGATGAATCCTGAGGCACTCTCCTGTGCTTCAGTTTCCTAGCTGATGCCTTCTTTGAACTGACAGTTGCAGAACAGAGGTGGTATTTCCTATGGAAACCCCATCTTTGATAATGACACCAGAGATCGGGACAGTCTCTCCTCTCCTGATTCACAACAGGGGTTGGCCCCAAACTGGAAGCAAATGGGTGCCATGAACAGACTGCAGTGTCCGTGCTGTTTCACACTGGTTCTGACCACCACTCTGGAGCCAGAATTGAAGATGCCTAAATGAGTTTGTCACGGGCACTGCACAGCTGCACCAGGCTGGTCCTCATCAGGACCTCGGCACACACCGTTTCCAGTGAAGGGGAAGAGTATCTCATTACAGAAGCAGGCTCAGGATCAAATCTTAAATGTGGGGCATGGGAAGGAAATCCTTGAATTTTGGAGCCCCAAGGAAACCAGAATCTAGCTGCACATTCTCTGTTGTGGGCCAGGCATTAGGAAGAACTACCTGCTGGAATTTCTCCCAGCTTTTGAGCTGGAAGGTAGCTTACCTTTACTTCATAGAATACCAGCCAAGCTTCCAAGTGACATCCCTGGATTTAGCCACCCTTCCTTTAAGCAAAACAAGGAGACTCTGAACCTCACCACTGAGGTGGAAAATGTATTCCATTCATGCAGCCAACTGTCAAGAACATCTCAGGAACTTCAGCTAGATTTGGTGATGTGATCAGTCTTTGAAATACTCTGGTGGAATTGCTCAGCAGCAATTTGTAGACATTTGCTGTGCTAAAAAAGGTGGGGCTCACAATGATTCCCATTTCCCAGATGTGAATGATGCACGTTAGCCAACACTTGACCCATGCCACAGTGCTGTGCAGCTGCTCCGCTCACAGGTGCCAACAAGGCCTTGGTGGTGGCCCTAGGTCCCTTTGTAGGCAGGTGCTGGTGAGCAGGAGGAAAGACTGGACTTAGATGGTGTATTTGGTCTTCTGGTGTCAGCATGACACCCTCCTGCACAAGTCACCAAACAGACCAAGGGTCATCCTCCCCCATGTGAGGACACCCAGAATCCCATCTTGAGACTTCTA